CTTAGTTTACACATTGTATTTCCATGGTCTTCTTTTAAATGTACTACTCCCTCCATCCCATAATTATTGTCCAGTTTAGGCTTTCATTTTTAGTTCAAATTGTACTAAAAATAAAATCTTAAACTGGACAATAATTTTGGGACAGAGAGAGTACGTATTATTAGCTCCCAACGCAAAAATTTAAATAAAAAAAAAAAAACTGATTGTTGTTGAAGAACAAAGAGAGTATGTATTTTTGCTTATGTTTCATGTTTGACTTGGTTTTATTTAAAGGGTGTTACTTCCGTGTTTACACGGAATATATTGCCTCAAAGCAATTAATTGCTCCAAATTAAGCTACTAATTATTTATTACATTCATTTTTTTTTTAGCAAAAGAAACTGATTTCATAATTATTTATCACAGTTATTTTTTTTCTGAAGAAAAGAAACGATTTCATTTATAGATGTTGGAAATCATCCAACTACAATTAACTTAACGCCACAAGAATATGTATAACCAATTAGTACTCACTATTCTTGGCTACCAATTATTTATTACTTTATTTGTTTTTCTTCTTGTAATATGCACTTTGTTTCGAAAGAAATAGTCCACATTGAGTTTTCATATTTATACAAAAAGGTATAAATTAAAACTCAACTGAACAATTTTTCAGAACGGAGGGAATCATATGTTTCTATATATAGCCCTGATATTCAATAGCCTAAACACAAATTTATATTATTTTCGGTCTAAAATAATAATGTGAGCATGAGTTTTATATTATTTATATTCAAACTTATACATACAGTAAAACGTCGGTAAATTAATAATCGATAAATTAATAACTTCTACGAATTAATAATTTTCTCTGGTTCCAACTTGGGACCAGTACAAAAAGTGACAAAAATCGATAAAATGATAAGATAATAATGTTTTAGAAGATCTCTTATATATCTATAGGTCCCAACAATACTATAAATTAATAAATGTCCTAAATGCAATATATATATATATATATACTAATAACTAGAAAGATTTAGTAAAATAAGAACTTATTGATACTTGTTTTTTCTTGAAATTTGTATCCAATTAAATATCATCCTTGATTTGTTTCATTGTTCTTGAAAGCTCTAGGGTTGTATTCTCAAATTATAACAAGAAATTGTGAAGAGTTATTGCTGATTTGAGTGCTTCTTTTCGTGTGACTGGTATCAAAGGTATTGAATCATCATCAACTTCATCCTCCATTGAACTATCTTCAAAGACACTAATCACAACATCCTCAAATGATTTGACCTTTGTATACTCATTATTTTCACCTAGATAATCCACCAATTGATTGACATTCATCTTATTGTGATAATTAAATTGATTAATCATGTTCTGAAACTCATGAAGTCCTTCCTGGGCTGCATCATTTGAGTCCAATGCCGACGCTTCATTTATTGAACGAATTTTACAATGATTAAAACAATTTGTTATTTCTTTTGTTGGACATCAATCGTCCAAGATGAAACTGCAAGATTGATGGCATCTAAAACATTAGTATAGTCGAGTTTTTTTAGAAAAGATTCTTTAAATTAATAATTTATTAATTTATCGATTATTTAATAATTCGCTAAATTAATAAAATTTGGTGGTTCCAACACTATTAATTTATAGAAGTTCTACTGTATATCTTCCTGGTTGTAAGACACCTTGGAATACATATCTTAAGAGTTTTGACAATGTGTTGTATTTGTGATAATTTCCTGACCAATTGTATCTTCAACACTAAACGAAGAACCTCATCAATGTCCCCTTTGGGACGGCCAAACCATATATGGATTTTGCATTGCTTCAAATTTTGCAATCATATAAATTGCAAGACAAGAAATTTTTTCGCGTGTGGGTAAATGGGATTGTAAAAATCTGATTCATACAGGATTGGGGAGACGAAGGATTGAAGGAAAATTTAGAACAGAATTAGCGTTCGAAGAAGAACAGAAACCCTAATTTGAAAAAAGACATTTCGCAGAGGATAAGTCACTTTTTCTGATCCATGCTACAAAGTCCATCACTGCATACGATCAAATAATTAACCATTGTTTGCTCAACGAATGTATAAGCGTCTCAAATTATAATAATTTCGATATTTCCCCTGCTCGTGGAGATACATACAAAACCATTGTTCGTAAAACGAAACCTTGATTTTCCTACCTAAATTACGCACGCTAATAACCGTTGGGCCAATTTGCAATCTATTTTTCCCCAAATAATCATTTGACTTAAGTTAATTTACTTATTTATTGATAAAACCTCTATTATTACTACTTAATTGGCCACCTGTGGAAATGAATTCTTTTTTTTTTTTTTGCGTTCTATTAATTATTTGACATGCAATACATTCGCAATAAACATTAATTCCCCTTTCCATATATAACAACACGCAAACGCGTTTATATGAAATTATAATATTGAAACGAGCCAAGGTATTTTAAATCATTTTGCACTCTTTTCGTGTAACATTTTCAATACTTTCTGCAATGCTTATAGCTGGATCAATACTGGTGGGACGGGAACTAGGAAATGCAAATGACCGAACCCAAAATTTCTTCTCACATGAGGTACTAAAGAATAAAATGATTGGTGAAAACGGTCCTAGTATTATGGTACGACTCTAAATGAATTTCCAAATTATTAAAAACGCAATTGCGTTTGTGGTTGGTGCGGAGATTATTTTATTCTTGCAATCAAATGATTAAACAGTCCATCAAAATATTACCACCAAGAGAGAATTGAAAGACAAGATAGTAGTTAGATTGCTATATTTTCTGATGATAAATCAGGATTTGATTTTCACTAAAAATTGTAAGAGGGGTTTAACCCACATTTAAGTAGAGTCCACTGAAATAATTTTTTTTTTTAAAAAAAAAATGGCCACCAAGATGCTCATGGCACCAAGATGCCTCCATGCCAAAAGACATTGTCCCTTGAAGGCTTGAACGACAAAAGACATTGTCCTTTGCTTGAACGACAAAAGACTTGTTTTAGTGTGTTCAAATCCCAAACCACTAGGCAAAGGCCAAGTGAAGAATTTTTTACTATTGGTTCACCAAGAACCCACATTAAAACGAGGTAACTAAACGAATAGTGGTATTTGTTATGTATGGCCAATAACAAATAGTGATATTTATCTAATCTGAGGCAGATAAATAACAAAAAATAAAGCCCAAAATGAATTTTTTTTCTTGTTAGCGCAAAATGATTAATCCACTTTTTTTTTAACAACTTTTTCTTGTCAGTGTTTCCTTTTTTAAAAAAAAAATTTATATTCTTATCCAAAACAAAATCAAATGCGATGTTGATATTAATAGAGAAAGCAAGATATAATTTAGCACTGAAAAGAAATTAAATACACGCCCGATGTTGATCTCGTGTTACATACGTGTACTTTGCAATTTACACAAGTTGTAGAAAAAAATTTTAAAAAATAAAAAATTGTGAAAGAAACTGTTTATTTTTTTTTTTTAAAAAAAAAATATTTATCAGTGGCTACAAGTTGGATCTATAATATCTTAGGTGTAATGTATATGGATCAAAGAGATGTTGCCAAGTGGAACCACCGATTTTAACGCCACGTAACAATGATACACCAATCCTAGGTGGCAAATTACAGCACTTTAATTTTAAAAAATTAATAAAATGCAACTACTTGTAACCAAAAAGGTAACTAGTGAATCGGATTAAGATGACAGATCGGATACAATCGTGACACCAGGAGTCAAGTATTCAAGAGCCACAAACTGTACTACAATTTTTATTTTGGCCTTTCAAAATAAAAGGCCGTTTTCTTTCCCGGGGTTTTTCTTTCATATGTATTTTCTTAGGACCTTTTCGCCCTTAGTGTAGCTGACGAGTTCGGTGATCCTTATCCAGTTTATGCCGTCCCCAGTGACAGCTTACCTTAGTCCCATGTTGTCGAGCTCTTACAAAGTTCGCCGCACCCGTGAAATATTCCGAAAGTTTGGGGGTAAAATATGAAAGCAGATTTAAATATTTCCGCGAAAAACTAATCCCACGCGCTTAATGAAGCTTCGCTAGCTTTAAAGGAATTTGCGATATTAAGGAGAGAAAGATAAAAGGTAAATTAGGTCAAGGGTAAAGAATGATTATTTTTGCTACAATTACGATAACCTTACTTTGTACATCCAGTTATACTTGGAAAATAGTTTAATTACAAAAATGAAAAGTGCATCATTTTCTTATAAATTCGACGTCCCAATTACAGTTATGCATAGTTTTTTTTTAAAAAAAGAAAATCAGAATCATTATGCACACATGATCATAAATCATAATATAAGAGCATAGTTTTGACCTAGTAGCCCATATAACGAACTCAAAATACATGGGTTGCCAACTTGAAACCTATTCATGCGAATATAGAAATATGATAAACAAAATAATAAAATTTTTTGGTGTTGATTAAAAAACAAAAACACATATTCTTTTTATTTATGTTTTAAGTATGATATGCAGGAAAACGTTATAGAAAATTTTAATTGAGAATAATTTGACTGAATTTTAATTATCTACTAACTCTTAAATAAATAAATCCGTAAAGGTAAATTTTAACTATGGAGGGTTGTGATACATTCTCTGTATATTTTTCTTGCAAATTTTTATTGCAACAATCATTGAACAAACACATATTCACATTATTATGTGAAAATGAAAAAATATATATCATATCGTGTCAATTATCTTATTTGGTTATTAATGATAATTGATTTGATTTAATCTCATTGCCATACTATATATAATTTATTATCTAACCAAATCAAGTATTTGATTACACAGGAATTAAAATCATCAATCAAGAAGGATAATGAAGAATAGTTAAATCAATGTAAATAATTAAACAGGTTACCAAATTAAAAATATTTTCCATGTACCTATTTCTCTTATTAAACGTGTTTTTCTTACATTAACATTGAGCGAGTGTGGTACAAACTCTAAAAACAGCGTGTGAGATAATTGGACCGTGGTGAACTGTGGAGACCAAAAGCGCTTTGTGTTGTTGGTGGGTGATTCACGTTTGCCTATAAATAGACACGGAAAATCCCCTCTGTTTCTCCCCATCGCAAAATCCTCTCATTTTTTAGCATTTCCGACAATCTCTCTGTTCATATCCAAATCTCATCCAATTTTTCACCCCATCAGAAACCCAAAAAAAACCTTGAATTGAATTTCATCATCAACATCATGAAAGTAACTCCGGCAGTAATGGACGTTGTCGACGAGAGACTTTCCGGCGAATTGCAGCAGCCGGCAGCCGACGTTTACATAATAACCTCCGGCGGAGTTCGCATCCCGGCCCAATCTACCGTTCTTGTAAGTAATCATCGCCTCTGATTTCATTTTTATCTTGTGGGATTGGATTAATTTTGATTTGTAATTTGTCTCAGGCGGCTTCTTCCCCTGTTTTGGAAAGCATAATTGATCGGCCGACAAAGCACCGGAGTTCGGAGAAATCTATTCCGATTCTCGGTGTACCCTGTGACGCCGTTTCCGTGTTCGTTGAGATTCTATACTCCTCCAAGTAAGAACTTTGAACACACGCCAATCATTTGAATTCTGTTTATCCTTTATTTTATATCCATTGCTGAAAAATCGCTTAAGATCATTGAGGGAGAAAAAGGTTTCAATTTTTTGCTAAAAAATTGGAAGCAAAGATAATGCCTCGGAATTGTAAGCCTCTGGATTCCTATCTGCAAACACGTGGGTCCTTTGGTTTTGGATCAATTCTGTATTTTTTGGTTGGCAAATTGAAGAGCAATTATGAAAGTGTAATTAAATCTGGATTAATGGGATATGAATATTGATTGTTGATGTTGATCTTGTCTAGATGCAATGAGGAGCAAATGGAGAAGTACGGAGTTCATTTGCTGGCTTTATCCCATGTGTATTTGGTGCCTCATCTGAAACAGAGTTGCATCAAAGGGCTAGCTAAGCGGCTGACGATTGAGAATGTGGTGGATGTGCTCCAATTGGCGCGATTGTGCGACGCGCCAGATCTTTATCTCAGGTGTATGAAACTTCTGTCGAGTAATTTCAAGGCTGTTGAGGAGACTGAAGGTTGGAAGTTCCTCCAGCAGCATGATCCTTGGCTCGAATTGGATATCTTGCAGTTCATGGATGAAGCCGAATCGGTATGTTGTTACCCTTTACTCTTAAGGTTTAACCTTAGTAGATGTGAATGCACAGAAGTTTGTTTCAAGTTTAATTGTGATTCTTTGGATGCTCTATTCACTTTTTGAGATTTAGTCCTGTTATGACCTGAAAAGATAATATTCATGTATGATGTGAAGGTATTTTGTAAAACTCAGGTGGAAAAAGAGAAGTGGTAAAAAAAAAATTGTAGTCAATGTCTCAATGATACAAAATATGAATTGACTTGTCAATGAAGGGCATCTAAGATTTTACATGTAGCTTTTTGTTTCGAAAAGACCCTCTCTTTGTTTTGTAGTTAGATATTATGTTGAGAAATAGTCTGGATCGTGCCTTTGACAGAGACTGTAGTATGATGGATTAGGATCATTTTAGATTTTGATGTCAAAATTTACTAAGTGGGCTGTTTAATTTGATGCGATGGAGGTAGAAACATAGTCGTTGCCCGGTCATTACTGCTTTTTCTGTTCTACACGTTTTTTATATAAAACATTTCTTATATACTAGTTCACAATCAACTTTATCAATAGTAGTTTTCAATGGTAGTCTTGTACAAATAAGTAAAACAGATTAGCTTGGAAGCTAATTTTTGCGTTGGCAACATTTACTAACGAAGCAATTTAGTAGTTGTAACAGTATATGATCATTCGTACTTTGGATCAATTTTGTTGCTAAGTATTGCTGTAATTGTGTATCAGAGGAAGAAGAGGAGTAGGAGGCACAGACAAGAGCAGAGCTTGTATTTGCAGCTAAGTGAAGCAATGGAGTGTCTGGAGCATATATGTACAGAAGGCTGCACGATTGTAGGACCTTATGACATGCAGCCCGGAACGAAGAAAGAGCCTTGCAGCAAGTTTTCGACTTGTCAAGGTTTACAGCTTCTCATCAAACATTTCGCCACCTGTAAGAAAAGGGTCAATGGCGGGTGCGTTAGATGCAAAAGGATGTGGCAGCTCTTGAGGTTACACTCTTCAATTTGTGAAGAATCAGATGAATGCAAAGTTCCCCTTTGCAGGTAAATTCTTTGAACTTTCTAAAATGGTCCAAAGATCTTTATTCTGCAGTGGGGTCCTAAGTTAAGCACACTTGTAGCATTCAGTTAGCACAAAAAGGTTCATTGTGTGGAATTTGGACACTTTTATGGTTTGGTGGACATTCAATCATTTTACAAGCTGTCTTGTAGGTCACCTTCTTGTTGCTTTCCGTATAGTTTTTTAATTATGATTTGTTCATATCTTTTTTAGTTTGTTTTTTTTTCGTCTTTGGATACTAGCAATCACATAACCTAATTTTTCAGATGGTTAGGCACTATTTTGACAATACTTTGTCCTGATAGTGAAACCCTTTCTAAAATTTGGTTTTTAGTTTTTTTTTTCATCTTTGGATACTAGCAATCACATAACCAATTTTTCAGATAGTTAGGCGCTATATTTGACAGTACTTTGTCCTGATAGTGAATCCCTTTCGAAAATTTGGTTGCATCTTGTGTTGGTTGATTGTGTCATACTTTACTTTTGCTGCTTTTGAACAATGTGAAGATTTGTGGTCCAAAAATGTTCATTAATACTTCTTTTCCTCAACATCTGATCATTTGTGAAATGATTCTGTTTACAGGCAATTCAAGTTAAAGGCGCAACTAGCAAAGAAAAAGGAAGATGCGAGATGGAAAATACTAGTGAAAAAAGTAGTTGCTGCGAAGGTTTTGTCGTCGCTGTCGCTAGCAAAAAGGAAGAGAGAAGAGGAACCAACAATGAACCATACTCATCCAGGCATAAGAAGCTTTAAATTATGATGTCAAAGCAGAAAATGAGGAACAAATAGTCCTTAGTTTTATGCTAGTAATTTGAAGTTAAAAGTATTTATTTTTTATTTTGGGGGGTCAAAGCTACTAGTGGTTGGTATTCTTTGTAAATGTAAATGAGTTAAATGTAGTTGGTTGCAATATTAGTCGGCTCAATTAATGGTCCTGCTGCTCGACAATAGAAAAACGCCATTTTTTTGGCGTAATGGTTTTGCAATGAAACGAGTGGGTCCAATTCAGTTTACTTTCTTACATTAAGAATTTTATTAGGTGATTGTGAGAAATTTCTTCCGATGCCTTAACTAAAATAGTAAATTGGGACGGAGGGAGTATAACAGATCACAAATGTCTCTTGATTATATTAGATTGTTGTTTCAAACATTTACAAGTTACCTTTTTTTCAAATGGGCGAATATTGAGTACACTAAAATTACGATTTCTATAAAGAAATATATATATATGTATATATAAAAATAAACATTTTAATACTTGAACTGTCCATAGAAATGTGTTTCTCAATTAAGATGAGGAACAATACACACACATTTTGGTTTGATCGGTTCAAATATCTCCTGCAGTTGAGGGATGAGTGACCTAAGACTCGCAAGACCTTTACGTGACAAAGCCGTGCACATCCACTCATACATACCTCATCACCATGATAGACAACTTATACGCCTCATGATCAAACACAAGTTCGTTGAAGAAGGGGAAAGAAAAAAAAAAAAAAAACCCAAAACTTTGCGTACTTCCTCTTATTTATTTTAATACTTCAAAATTTTTTTTTTCAATCAATTAATTGTATTGCTTTAGCGTGTACTCAAAATTTGTTAAGATGGGATGTTATGCTAATTCTTGTTTGTGGAGAAGAATTAATTCGGTTATTCGTAATTGCTATTCGTTTTTTTTTTTTTTTTTATCAATTCTATTTTTCAATCTTTTTTTAAAAAACGGATTTCATTATTTATCTGTCTCTCAAAATATCTCTGGTTTTCAACAAGCATATGATAACTTGAAATGCTTTCACGTACCGTAATTAATTTCCTACTAATGACCCTGAAGCTGTGAAAACATGTCATAGATGCCAAATGGTAGGATGTCAATTTCAAGCATCCCCCAAAATGTTTGCCTTGTAAAATAGTGCTACTCAACCGACTAATTCGAATCGAGTGAAATAATTCTTATTTAAACAGAAAAATTTTGACTAATAAATATTTTAAACATTGTTCTGTCTCCACGCCAAGATTTGAATCGTGGTTACAATTGGATTGATCCATAATCTTTATTAATAATTACCAAGTCATAGTTAATTCCCTTTATTATTATAAAATGAATAGGAACTAGAAATGTGGTTCCTCGGAACCAAACACGTTGAATCAATAAAACCTCAATTACTGTCAATGGCAATTGAAATGAACAGAATCGACCTCGTCATCTTAGCAGCAAATTACCTAATTTAATTATATAGATTTCGTGTTATTTTGTTAGCCAGTAAAGTTGTCCCGTAGTTTTCGTGCAGAAGCATATGATATTTTAATCTAGTTCATCATTCGTGGCTACAAATTTCATTGTCGATACAAATAATACAAGGTAGATATTTGTACTGTAAAGCACAAATTGCCAATTTGCGATTGATGGAACTGTCAGTTTGCGGATGATAATGGACTGTCTTAATCCTATGAATCTACATTGATCTATATGACTACGCGATTGGCGATGACAGTCACAAAGTCTTGTGATGTTAAAGCGGTAAAAATGATAATCTTGTGATCAAACATATTGTATCGATTAAACTACTTATAAAGCATATAGGTGTTCTCCTGTTAAATACTCCTTTCGGTCTTTATTATAAAAAAATATTTTAAATTGTCCTAAATTTCATAAGTATATTTTTCAGTTGAAAAAAAATTAAAAATATTTTATAATAATTGAGAGAACGTAATAAATATAAGATTTTGATTAAAAAAATTCTATATAAAATTTCAAATAAATTAAAATGGCTTATAATAAAAACAGGAGAGGAAATGTGCAAAAGAGAAGCAAGAAATTTTGTTCTCGGGATCCAATTTGAGCCTATCAAATGACTGACCGTCTGACCGTGATTCGTGTGGTTCTTTGACTTCTTTATCTGCCGTGTGAGTTTTAATAAAGAAATATACTGTATACTTCCATAATGACCTTAATCAAGCATAATAAGATGTGATAAATATATTTATTTAATTAATTTCTTGGTAGAGAAAGGGTGTTATTTCTTCTTTTTTTTTCCCCCTTTAACTACATATATCTTCTCTTTTTTTAATACGTACATTTTACATATATTAAAAATCAAACTCTTGTGGTAAAGCGTCTTTTCATGGATAAATACAACACTAAATTTATATTCATGTCATTATGCGCAAAATAATCCTTTTATTTGCAATATTGCTGACCCTAAGTCCCTCACATTCATTAACTTGTCTTTGATATGTTTATCTTTGTGGACCTATTCAAAGATATTGAAATCCAAAATGAATTCAGAAATCAGATATTCTGTTTACCCAGAAAAATAATTAAAAAAATGATCTTATGCATCATCATTGCTTTGATAACAAGGCATCATTTCAAGCGAGGCTTGATGCGTTTGAATTCCTTCTATATATATCCAAAAACTAATTAGCAGAATGTTGAAATTGGATAATATAAGTTTTCGCAATAAAGTAAATGATAGGAACTTGAAGTGTATTTATATATAAACACACACACACACATATATATATATATGTATGTATGTGTGTTTGAGGGTGTGAAAATACTTGACTAAGTAAAAGATGAACAAATGTGCCACATTTCTCGTCGTTATAAATTATCATAGGTCTTTGCCATCTTACATTACTATCAGTCTAGATCGGTATCAAAAAATACAAACTTTTTCCGAGAGAAACCGTCTTAGAATACATCCCATGTACTTCTTAAGATATCAAAAGATTGCAGATTTGACAGACTGAGTAGATGCATTAGGAAACCGAAGTGTTTTTTTTTTTTTTTTTTCATATTTGCAAGATGTCTACCATCAGTAAGAGTGATTAATCCCCCTTGCTGAATTGTAGGCATCTCAAAGGGTGGGACAGTTGATCAAAATATTTAAGATTGCTGCATATCCAGAAAGAAGTTCGAATGCTCGACTTATGTTTAAAGGTGGACACTCCACCACAACCACTTTTGGTTGGAAACCGAAGTGTTTTAAGTGGAAAAAGGTTGCAGAATTACCTTCTGTTGTTTCTTGAAGACCACCGTGATTATGATACTTCTCAAAATTGTCCAGACATAATGTCATCATGAGTCATGCACTAAGGGGATTTGTGGGCCTCATAACAACTACCATTTAGGATCTTTTTGGGCTTTCTGTTAAAATTTGTCCATTGCTTTAGAATATTCGGCGTTCAACCTTTTGGGCCTCCACACTGTTGCAGATGAGCGGTAAACGGTCAATATAAAAAGCATAACTAACGAAGGGTTGTGATAGAATGATAAGGACTCTCCACTCTTAATCATAAGTCGATGATTCGAATTTCTCCATGTGCATAGAGCAACTTTAAATCTTTTAGCTAGCTCTCCCACCTATTAAGGTGCCAACTATAAACGAGGGGCATTAGTCACTATGTCCGACGGTGGACATCCTGTAATAAAAAAACATAACCGTAGTGCCACAAAATTAAATCTGGACATCTTGCAATAACTGTAGTGCCACAAAATTAAATCTGGACATCTTGCAATAACTGTAGTGCCACAAAAATAAATCTGAATATCCTGCAATATGTTAAAAAAAAAAAAAAAACATACATAACCGAAGTGCCACAAAACTAAATCTGGATGAGATCAAGTCAGTCTTATTTATAAGTATTTTTTAAGGTTTATATTTGGCTCTAATTCATAAATTTATATAACAAGTTCATCTGCTCATTATTTTTATCAAGACCTCAGTATCTGGGCACGTACTCTTTGTTTTGGTTTGATTAAAAATGGTGATCCCTCCATCCCAAAATTGTTTTTTTTTTTTAATTTTCATTCTTAATACAAATTAAACTAAAAAAAAAAAAGAATAAGATTTATGTCAATAGTGATGATGTTTTGTTTCTTTTTTTTTTCTTCTTTTAATTAAAAAAAAATAACATAAAGAGAACCCTTTGAAAACAATTACGCTATTACATTGCGACGAAAACACTCATGTTGCGGTAAATCCCCGACTTAAAGCTATCAGGTCGGTCATCTAGACGATTGTTAACCCCAAGTGATCCAGTAAGAAAGAAACCACATGCACATGCCTAGCTAGTAGCTAATTTGTTCATGTAGTTCTTCATTTCCCTTTCCAAAGAACTAAAGGTCTTACATTCCGGGGAAAAAAAAACATATTTTGCCTCCTATTTTGTACCAAAAAAAAACTAAAGGTCTGATAATTTAGATTTCGTGCGAAAAATTCAAAACATATTTTCTTTTTCTTTTTTTCATTTTTGAAAAGAACATATTTATCTTATTTTGGAGAATGAATTCCTTGAAAGGAACTCTCCCTGTATTATAAGAATAGTATTCTTTGTTAAATTAAAACAGTATAACAATGTGGATTATTTTTTTTTCGGGACAAAAGGAATATAATTTACATGACCTAATGTACGTATTTAATGCGTCTTTCCCTGGCTGCTTAAAAAGGGTAAATTATGATGCTCCCACTAAAGCTAATTAACGTGCCTTGATGTGTTATCTTTGTTTTGTTGACCAATTCGAAATGAAGTCAGTATATTATTGTTAATATACACAAGTTAGCTACATCATCATCAGTATATTATTGAAAAGAAAGACAATTGAACCCTCTAGAAAAATCGACAATATGATTTGATAAATGGAGAAGATGCTAAAGAAAAGTGAGTGATTTTAGTTTGGTATAATCATAAATTTCATGCGGATAAACAAAAAGAATGCACGGGACATCTCTGTGTCAAGGAATCCGATCTTTTCTTTATGCCGATTAATGCACTCGTGTCATTATTCTGTTTTTCCAATAAAGAATACTCATAGAGTATCTTGTCTGTTTAAGTAGGGTAGCATGAAACCACGAGGAGAAGGACGAGGGCTTATTACAAGAGTTTTTGTAATACTCCTTAGTTCTAAAAAAATATTTAAATTCTTTTAACTATAGTAATATTTTTTTAATTTTCATTATTTATTTAGTTTGTCTTTTTTACCTTCAAATCTGCCTTGATGAATAGTATGCATAGCTTTAGCATCTTCAATTGAACAAATTCCAGAAAATGAGAAATTTAACCAGTTCGTTTGGGCGTTTTCATAAAGGAAGTTAGATTCTAGCTTAGTACTTTGATTTTATGCTCTCTTGGACATTCAGTAGATTTTGAAATGTGTATTTATTTTTCTCTCTG